CAGCGGAGTCGCCAAGCTGTCAGAACAGTCTTTCGGTTGGGCCCCGAATTGGGCTTCGACTTGGATTAAATGAATTGGAGTCGCCACCGACCATTTAAAACGAATTTAAGTAGGTCGGACACTATCTTACCTGATCTACGTTGTATCAGAAACGTGTCGGGTTCGGGAGTCGGTTACGGTCAAGGAAGGATTAGCACCCTTGAACCGCCCTTCGGTACCAATTAATTCATCGGTTGTCTTAATCGCGAAAATCAAAATTTAAATTGAAATTTAAAAATTCAATTCGAATTAATTATCTTTGATCGATTGAAAGTATCCCTAAAAAGTCAAAAATGTTAGATTATAAAAATGAAAATAAACATGAGAAAAGAATAATAAAAAATATTAATATAATAATATTAATAAAAAATGAATAAATAAATAAATATATATATATAACAATGTAAAAAGAAATAAAAATATTAAAATTAGGAGAAAATGAAAAATATATATAAAGTAAATAAATAAAAAATGAAATAAAAATAATAAGTCAAAAGTTGTTACATCTCCCATGTTTTGCGTGTAGAGAAACTGGATTTGCAATGAAAATGCTCTGCCACTCCTCGTGTTTTTAGATACTGGCTTTGGATTTTCCACGCTTATTTTTTGTCCTTTTCTTTCCTCGGTTTTTCCAAATCGTTGCCCCTTCCTTTGATTTTGGTTCTACGTTTTTCTATGTGTCCTTTCCTCTTGATGCATGAGTCTATTTATAGTCTAAAGAAACCTATTTTTAGCTCATATTTAGAGTCCTACTTGGACTCAAAATGCTTCGGTTTTAATGTTTCAATATGACTCAAATACGTTGGTTTTAGTGTTTCAACAGGACTCAAATACGTTGGTTTATTTTCTAAATCTCGCTAAATCAATGTTGTTGAGTGCGGGGCCTGCAAAAATAATAAAATAAAGATATAATAATAATAATAATAATGAATAAATAAATAAATAAATATATATAATATAATAAAATATTTTTATAGACTCGGACAAAAACATGTGTCTACACTATTCTTTTCTCTTTTGCTTTCATTCTTTTTGTTGATCATTGTTTTCATTCTTTTATAATTAGAAAGTGACAAGGTTATGTAAATGATGTGATTTAATCATTAAGATGTTTAATATTAATATTCAATTTATTTTTCTAATGAGATTTTTATTCTTTAAATATTTATTCTTTTTACAAATCAAGCGATTTTAGTGTTTCAAGATATAATTGTTATTTTTAGAGGTTTTAAGTTCGAGTAATAATGACTGCATGATATTTGAGCGTTCATTATCAAATGATTAATAGTCTTTAGTACATATACTACCACCTTAGATTAATCAAAAAAAGATACCTATATTTTGATACTCATATTATGTGGTTTCTTGAATCTTTTTCTCATCCCAGCTTGGTCATCTCATCAGTAATTTTCTTTTGATAAAGTCTTTTTTAATAAAGTCTTTTTTTACCTAACCAAATTTTCTTTTAATTTTTTTGTGATGTATTCTTCTTTCTCTTTGATTTTTGTTTAGTCTGCAGCACAAATATTAATGTTGGTTGCCAACCGTCGGAGAATGTTAGTTCTTTTTTATTTTTTTATATTATGTCTTTTATGTTTTTTCTTGAGCCTTTTTAGTTTTGAATAAGAATCTATGTCCTTGTGACATGATTTTTCTATGCTCTTATGGCATATGTTTCCTTTTCTCTTGTGGCACGATCCTTATGGTTTTCAGTATATTTTTTCGCATACATTTGCGGTCGTTTTGGTTATCACACAAAAATCATCACGACATTTATTTTCTAATTGATTAGTCGGTGGTCACATATAGTCATATCCTCTATTTTGGTTAAAGGTTGTTTGTCGTTGTAATCATAATTGTGTAGCAAAGCAGTCTGCCAGATTATTTGGTTTGTTATTTACTCCTTTATCACTTTGTTAAGCGTCTCATTTGACAGAGACAAGAAGTTTGTATGAAGGTTGTTGGGTTTTGATGTTGGTCATCATTCTCAATGGAATGTTTTAATTTTCTTCATATTTTAGGTTTATTATTTACTTTTGTATGAGTATTTTGGTGACTATTGTCTTCAAATTTATCTCTTTACTATGATGCATTATAATTTTAATTCCTTCCATTATTTAATAAAATCAAGTTCTCATTATTCAAAAAAATAAATCATACATAAATCATTTTTTTAAACATACATAAATCTCAAAATCTATATAATAAAAAAGTATTAAAGTAAAATGAATATAATATTAAATAGAGTAAATTATGTACTTAGTGCTTAAATTATCAATTTTTATTTGGTTTAGTACCTAAACTTTTAATTTTTTCAAAATCATACCTAATATTTAGTTTTGTTTCATTTAGTACCTCGCCGTAAAAAACTTATCAGCACTGCTTTTTATGGATAAATTACATCATTTATCACTCAATTATCTTCTCACTCCTATTTTGGTACTAGAGTTTAAAAAATTTCAATTGAACTTCTCAACTTCTCAACTTTCTCCTATTTTAATCACTCTATTTTATTTTATTAATAATTTTTGTGACATAATATTCTTATTATTATTTTATTAATGATGCAATTTACCCATAAAAAAATGTCATGTGCAAATCGCCCGTTAAGTTTTTAACGACAAGGTACTAAAAGAAACAAAAATTAAACATTAGGTATGATTTTGAAAAAATTTAAAAGTTTAGGTACTAAAATGAATCAAATTGATAGTTTAAGTATTAAATACATAATTTGCCCTATTAAATACTCATGACAATTGACACTTATAGAATAAAATATAGGCTTAATTAGAAAATAAGTGTCCAAACTATACTGCTTTTACTCAAATATGTGCCTAGTTTTTTTCGATTCATCCAGGTGCCTAAACGTTACAAATGTTACTCCTTTTAGGTATTCGGGCCGTAACAGATGTTAAATTCTACCATTAAATGACACGTGCCGCATTCAGGTAATTTTTAAATTTTTATTTAAAATAAATAAACTTAAAATTAGATTTTTTTTAAAAAAATCCAAAACTTTTGAAAATCTATAAAAAAACTTTGAAAACATCCCTAAATCTAATCACTATACCCACACCATCGCCACCTTTTACCGCTCATTGTTGTCGTCGGCTGATCCTACCCCAATTGCTCCTCCACTTGACGACCACCCACGCTACGAACAGCTATCGATGGCGTTATTTAAATTGATCGATGGTGCGACATTTGGAAAAATAATCGCGATATTTGCACGATTCGACAACGCAAGCGACAACAAGGACGATGTCAGTCGAAAAGGGAGACGACATCAACAGCATCAGCGACATTGATCATGATTAGGATTTGGGGGTTTGAGGGTTAGAGTTAGGATTTAGGGTTGATTTTAGGGATTTGATTTTTTTTTTATAATTTTAGAAAAAAATAGAGTTTTTTTTTAAAAATATAATATTATTTTTAAGTTTTTAAAATGTAAATAAAATTTTTAAAATTTTATAAAGGCAACATGTGTCCTTTAACAACAAAATTTAATGATACTTACGGCCCGAAAACCTAAAGTGGTATCGTTTATAACGTTAGGTACCTGGATGAATAAAAAAAAGTTTAGACACCTAAATAAAAAAAATGGTATAATTTAGACACTTATTTTCTAATTAAGCATAAAATATATAGAAAGAAAATGAAATTACAAAAATAGCAAATCTGAAAGCAGTGAATTAATTGGAAATTAAGAGGGGGAAACGTTGAAGGGATCGAAATTAATAATTAACAAACGCGTATAGCAGAAAGAAAGGAAACAATGCATTAATAATTCCCGAAAGAGGAAGTTGGTTACGCCCTTTTTTAAATTATTGTTTTTCAATTTCTGGAAACATGATTAAAGTGTACGCGAAGCGCAAGCCAAGAGCTTGTAGATCGGACTTTAGGATAGATTACTAGGGATCGTTTGGTTTATTAATAAAAGATATATATTTATTTTTAAAATTTATATGTTTTCTTTTATAATATTTATACAATATTTTAATACATACTAAAATATTATATATTTGCATATATACATACATAATGAATAAATTCTTTACTATTTATTATAATTATATGTTTGAGAAATATAAAATAAATTTTAAATTTTCATAAATTTTTAATATTAATTATCGTATTCACTACTATGAAATATACGAGTAATATATAATTATAAATATTATATTTATATATTTTATTATTCAGCTTATTTTATTTTTAAAATCTAAATTCAATAAAATTAAGACACGATATGATTTCTATTTTTTTAAATAAAAAAAACTTATTTACATCTATGTAATCATGTATAAAAGGAATGGTTATTCTAAATTAACTCTCTAGTTGTAGGGTTACTGTAGCATTTTCGTGAAAGGTTCCGATAGTTTTGAAGCATTTTTTGTAGCCATCCAGCCAAAAATATAAAAAGAAGAGGGAAAAGGCTTTCATTTGGTAACGAAATTATCGTTATCGGAGGTTGGGTGATATTAATAATAGATATTCGATTTGGGTGTTGAAATTTTGACCAACAAAAAGAAGAGTAAAAAAAAAGCATTTGATGATGAGAACAATAGATCAAAGTTATTAGAACAACAACGACAACGATAACAATGATAGGAGTAGTGGCTTAGGATTTATTTTAGAGGAAAAAAGAAATTATTTTAAATGAAAAATGAAAAAAAAGAAAGGAAAATGAAACAAATGAAAAATAGTGTCCACATAGTCGTCTCTTTTTTATTTAACGGTCAAGTGTCTTAATTGAAGCCTAAACTAAAGTCTAGGACAAAAATTGAATTGATTTAAAGTTCAATGAGAAAATCAATATAAACCCTTAAATTTAGTCAAAATTAGGGTCAAATTGACCAAAAAAAGTTAAAGACTAAAATGAGAATCAACCCATGCTTTAGGGACAATTTTGTATATTAATTCATTTGAGATTTACCCGAAACTAAAGTACACAATGTATAATCGCATTACTTATTACTTTAATAGTGGTGTCCTTGTGCATATGATGAGTCCAAGACTAGGTGTCAATCTGTTTATACAAATTCTAATCACCAACTTGTTTGCAGACCCATATGCTTAGCTGTCCAAGAGAGGTTCACATTTAAGCTCCAATTCCATCATTTACAATCTCTTTTCTTATTATCAAACTGAACCGAAACGTATACTCATATCCACATACATTAAAAGAAAAACTTACAAATTTTAAGATTCGGCTGCAGTTCTTTGCTGACCATGTGGTTCACCTTCTTCCTCGTTCTATATCTTCTAATCTTGAAGTTGATCCATAATCCAATTCTGGTGTTGAAAAGTTATCTTCGTTCGACGGAGGCGTTTGATTTACAACATGAACCTCCATAGCCTGCGCAGTGAGTGCATTCGTAGTTTGAGCAGCGGCATCCACATTGTCATTCGACGATTCCTCCAACAGTGCAGCAAAATAAGCATAGGGCCCCCATCCTGTAACACAGACATCAATATTTATTATATTTGCAGGCTACACATGAGATCCTTGAAATTAATCTAATGTCTCAATCAATCGATAAAGATAAAGGAGAAAGAAGGGTTTACCATCATCATCGTATGGGTTAGGGAAGAACTGCCGGTAGCAAAATGTAGCCACGACAAGGCCTGCAACAACAGATTCTGTAATCAGACGTAATTTCTTCCCAAACATACATTTGTATCGATAAAAGAAAGAAAAATACCTAGAAAACCACCCGCGAAGACATCGTTCCAATGGTGCCAGTAGTCATCTACTCGAGAAACAGCAACGAGTGATGCTGCGAGCAGAGGAAGCACAATGATGCAGAGTTTGGCGATATGTCCTTGGCGATCGAGTACTTTGATTTTTCCTGATAAGTAGAGTGACAGAAAACCTAGCCCTGCAAATGACCCTGCAGTGCAAGGGCAAGTTCCAGGTGTTGGAATTATACCCCTATTATTTTTTTAACTACTGATATCTGATATATTATTGATCGACTAATTCAGATAGGATATTATAGGTCTATCATGACCCTCTCAATCCAATTTTTCTCATTCACTCACATCCCTAGGATTCGTACCCTAAACTTGCTTTAAGGGATGAAAAATGTATGGCATAAACAAAAAGGGAAAATGGAGCAGTACTTACACGATGAATGACCACTTGGGAAGCTCTTGTGTCCTTCCTTTATGTCAGCTTTGTTTCCGTGACAAACAACGTTACCCCATCGATCGTAAACATCTTTCCCGTCGGGAAAGCAACGCCAGAAGAAATCCGGTCGAGGCCGACCCACGGCATCTTTGATTGCATCCGTGATAACAGCAGTAATCAGTACCGCAAACAACAGGCCTGCCCTTCAACATGGTGGTCAAATTCATCAAATAAAATACTCCTGGTTTATGAATTCTTAAAGCACAATGGCTATTACCTAAGACGCTGTGGTGCAGATCATACACGTCTCTCCTCCGGAAATAGACGAAGATGAAAACACATATCGGTAACAAAACCGAGTAAATCTGAATCAAACACAAGGAAATGAATCCTCTGAACATTATTTTTATAGTACAGAATGAAACAGCAAATGCTTAGTGGAATCAACATGAAACCAGAAAGATGGCAGTATCTTACAGGAACAGCCCAGAGTGGGACAGTGTTGTCTTTCATGGGATACTTGAGATCAGCCATCATATCCTTTCCAACAAACCGATAAAACGGATGGATGACGAACAAACCAACCTCTATCATAACCAGAAGCATTAATATTAGCCAATCATGTAAATGATCCCTTGCCACTTTGGTTCCGTGCGTTTTGATCGGATGTCTGCCGCGCTGGCCGGCCACCTGAGCTCCCTCCATCTGCAACGGTGACTGCTCTTGCTGTTGTCGCCGCCGCTGATGATGCAGCACAAAATTTATAAATAGTAAGTTATACGAGTACCAAGAAAGAAATTGGTCACAAATAAAATTTATATATATATATATATATATATATATATATATATATATATATATATTATGCAGAGTTGAAAAACTTGACTCTAACTTAAAAATCAATCCGTTAACTACTAAAAATTTTGTATTAAACCTTGGATATATATATATATATGTATGTATTATATAGAGTTGAAGAACTTGACTATATTTATATATAGTAAGTATAACTTGGATATAGTTTTTGCATTAAGCCTTTTTTTTTAATGGCATCAAATTTGTAAAATTATAAGTACAACCAAATCAAATTTATTAGCCCTAAACACAATAATAAGAAAATATTTTACATGAACATCAAAATGTAAAATTAATATTAGTTATTAATATCATCTGACGAAAACATGATTTGTATATATAGTATGAACGTTCAATAGACTTGGCCGGATACAAAAACAGAAAAGAGTAAGACCAAAACAAGTAAAGAAAATCAAGCAGATAATGCAAAATTATTCGAAAATAGAATTGGGAAAAGAAAATAAAAAACAAAGAATTAAATGCTGCTGAAAATTCCTGTGTCGGCAACTGTAAATTTATGAATAAATAAAACAAACCTGCAGGATACGCTGGAAATTGAGAAAAGAGAAAATCGAACCCACTTTCTTCCAAGACATGATGGTGTGAAAAACAACAAGCTGAGATTAACGGGAACGAAGATTCAAAGTTTCCAACACCAACGAAGCATGGAATCTACAGATTTCCTGAGGAAACAAACACGGCGGCATGTGATTAATAATAATAATCAATCAAAAAAGGAAACAACGCGGCGGGAATCTTCATCTTCCAAAATTCAAAAAGACGAGATAAGAAAGCCATTAAAGGTGAAATCGAAGCAAAAGTAAAAGCGAAGGAAAAACCTACCGACAGTGTAGTAGCATTCATATACGTAACCGTAACGTTGTATGTATAATTAGTAATATGTTTTCTTTTTCCTGGAAACTCTTAAAACTTTCCGAGAAAGAGATGGAAAATAAGAAACCCGACGATCTCTCTCTCTCTACTTGGAGTCAGTTAATTAGAAACAAGAAAGACAAGGCATTAAACGAGACAGCTAGAGATTGGCTTTGAAGTGAAATGAAATGAGCGGGTGCGGATAATTTATGCGGTTTTTATTTTCTTTCGGTTGGTGGGATGGATTGTGAAGGAAAGGTGGTTTTGATACTTTGCTTTGTTTTCATACTAATTCCCTGGGATTGGATGTTATGAATCTATATTCTATACTTTTATTATATTAATACATTAATATTACTGATTAATCGAATGATAGTTTAATTTTAAAAATTAATTAAAGTATTGTAAAAAACAAAATAGAATTTCAAGTCAATTAAAATAATTAATGTTTTAAATTATTTTTATTATTTAAAATACATTGAGAGGCCTTAGTGATTAAAGAGGATTTTAATTTTGATCCAAATCATAATCATTAAATATGTCAAATTAAATTCTATTATTAATCTTTGTATTACGTTTACGTTGTAGATTTAATTATTGTTCTTCTTTTTAATCATTTTAAATCTTGTAATTTAGTAATATCATTCTTATACAGTTCAAGAAAACTGAAATTTCAAAGTTTGCAAAAAATTGGACTAAAATTGATTAAATTTGAATATGAGAGTTAAATCTACAATTTGTACATAATATAAGGACAATGACAAAATTTTGACCGATATTTTCTAGAATAAAATATCTAATAGTAATAATAAAATTACATAAGAGAAAACTAGATAAAATAATATTTTTTGACTTAGGGGCTGTTTGTTTGGCTCTGAATAGAACCATTCAGCGCTGAATGCTGAACCATTCAGCATTCAGCGCATTTGTTTCGCACCTCTGAATGATTCAGTGCTGACTGATTCAACAAAACAATGTTGAATGATTCAGCATCAAAGTACATCCTGAGTGATTCAGAGCCATTATCAAATAGCATGTCACATTCAGAGCTAATTCATATAGAGCTAATTCATACAGTCAGCGACAACAATATTAATATTGTTCTCGACTGTTAGTAATTTTTATTGTCATTTTCTTTTTTTATATCATATTTTTATTTTTTTGATTTTTAATAAATATGTGTATAGCTCGTTTTCATTTGCCTTTATGCATGTTTTTCGGTCGTTTGGTCATTTTTTTCATTTATATTTTTTTTCTAAGATTTGATTTGACATCGCCACGACTAATCAAGATAGCGTTTATCTGATATCTTGTTGATCTTCCCTGCTTTGGACTCTCGGATGAGATTTAGATATCTGATTTGCATTCGTGGATAGTTTTTCACGTCGTTTGAATATGATTTATGGTTTGTGAGTGGTCTTTCAATATCTTTATTTTCTTTTTGTGATTCATTTAACGATACGATAAGATTTGTTTGTATCTATCTTTGTATGAGTTTTCTGGATAGATTTTTAATCTTTTCTTATAGATCTTGATGTGATCTTAAGTTGTTGCTAGTTTTGTTCAACGATTATAATTTTTTTTAATTATGTATTTAATTTACGATTATGATTATAAATATTTATTATAATTTAAGATATTTCTTATTTTGAATAAAATTAGTTACTTTTATAATATATAGTTTAACCCTCAATAGCTTGATAAATTCGACCCTTCACTTCTATGCATGAATAAGGTCATAATCTGAAAAATACAAGTTTTCACAAATCAATCTTGCAATTGGTGGATTGGCAAATAATTGAGGGTTGGTGCCCATATTGTATTGGGTAATCATTATCATTACGATAAATATTATTTCTTCAATGATGATTATTTTTAACGTTATTTTCTCATAGGTTAAATTTAATTAAAAATCATCATTTATTAGATTTTTATCTAATTATAAAAAATGTTAAAAAATATTTTCTTAGGCATCACCATTTAAGATTAATTTTTGAAGCAATACATTTTTCTGACACATAAAATAAAAGTGCATCAAATCAATTATGCTTTTAAAATACGCGTTTAACCGAATGTGTCTTAACCTTAGAAGACAACCAATCAACAAATGACGATTAAAAGCGTACTTAATTAAATATATAGTTTTAAAAAATGAAATTTATATAGACCAAAATATAATTTGGTTCCGTAATTAGAAATACTATTGGTGTTAGTTAGTTTATACAAATACAATTGAAGTGTTGGTATTTGTTTTCTTACCAATATGAGATTCAATTGACCCTTTTTTCTATTTTTTCATATGATTTATATTTCTACTCATATTTAAGCAATAATTATTGTACTCTGGTACCCCAACCAAGATTCATCTGGTGATATCATTGTCCCATTACGATATGTAAAACTTGTAATATATGAACGAAAACAATTTGAATGTTGAACTTACAAGGTTCAGTGATACACAATTATTTTGAATTGACCCACGTCACACACCAGACTTTGGTGGGTAAGTCTCTCAACATGAATTTTTTTATATATACAATGACTTAAACCCGAGACATTACTTCAGCGATATCAAATTGCTTACCACTTAATCCAACTCAATTGATTATTTTTAATTGTGAACTATATCCTAATAAGTGATAAATAAGTTAGCGTGCTTAAATTCATCGGTATTACATATAAGTATATCATGCATGAGATCATCAATATCATTATATCATCATGTTATGCTTTTAATCTATCATCATGAATCACTATTGTCGTTACCGATTTTCGACGATACGACGTGTCTCGATTTATTTTTGAAAAATTTGATTTTTGCAAAAGAAATGTTTTGGAGTCGCCATTGACCTTTTAGGTTAGGTAAGTCGAATACCTAAAAATTGTCTTTTAAAAGAGTTTCTAAGAAAACATCATTTTAAAAGATACACAAGTTTACGTGTAACCAGAAATTAATTTTTTGAATAAAATAGAAAAGGGTTCGGGGTCAATTACGCATGGGGAAGGATAAACACCCCCACAATGCCTAAAATTGGTACCCATCGATTATAAATTATCTCTAATAATAGAAATCAAAGAAATCGAATATAAATTAAGTTACGATCATATTATTCCAAATTCAACCATACACTTTTTATTTAACGAAAAATTCTAAGGAGAAATAGAAAATATTCCAATATTTTCAATCAAAGAGAAAATAATCCCTAAAATACTTTAGGAGAAATATTTCTCTTTCCAACTGAAATAAAAAAGAATATAATAATTTCTTCCAAGAATTCGATATTAAAATAATTTGATTCGACCAAAATAAAAAATTAAGCCAATTTGAACAAATTTAATTAATCATGCTAGATGATGAAAGTTTAAACTAGAATGACAAAAATATAAACACAATGAAAAGCAAAGACACAAAAATAAGTATCACACAAATATAAGTGCTTAAATAAAATAAAACCATAAATAACAAAAGGATCAAAATGCAAGATAGAAAAAATATGACATTCAATGTGATAAAATATGAAACATGCATATATATATATATATATATTCATAGGACTAAAAAAAATAAACAGACAATAAAGCACAATAATTAAAAGACTAAACTTAAATTCTAAAAAATGAAAGGAAAAAAAAAGATAGAAAATTAAAGTAATGAAATTAAATGACTGCAATTAAATAAATAAAAAGTGAAGGCAGAAATTTAAATGTGCATAAAATTAAATAACAAAAATAAAATAGCAATAAAAATAAAATGTTAGTGTTAATTTTTAATATTTAACCCGGATCGTAAATATTGCGAGTCGTACCCCGGGACAGGTCATCGCAAGGTCGTACTATGGTTCGAATATAAAATAAATAAATAAGAAGTTAGTTGAGTCCAGACCATAATAATGTGGATCGTACCCGGATCGGGTCACCACAAGGTCGATAAAGTTTAATATTCGAACATTTTTATTTTAATAACAAGGATTAAAAACATAATTAATAAAAAACACCAAATTGGCATTAAACAAGAAATAACAGAAACATGAGTGACCAAAATATAATCAACAAAAAAATAGCATGGAAAATTAAAATAAAAAAATGCAAAATATGACTAGAATGTAAACAAATAAATCAACATATAAAAAATTAAAATAAAGTAAAGTGAAAAAGTGACCAAAATGAAATAAAAATAAACCAAAAAGAGTGTCCAAATTGAAAGTTAGTAAATCGGTAAGATAACATTGCAATAAATTAAAAAAGAAGGCCCAATAACCTAACTGAAAAATCACGGCAGACTAGTAGGGACTAAGAGAGGATTTTAACAAAAATTTTAATATAACACAAATTTTACTTATTAAAAAAACCTAAAACACCTAAACTAAGCTCCCATCTCTTCCTCTCGTGCTCTCAACCCCCAGCAACACTATACGTCAGCCTCTCACTAAAAGGAAAGCCACCACACCGGTCACCGTAAATCAGTGGCAAGCCAAGCTCCGAACAACACCGATGCTGACCAGTGGAAGATAAAACCGCCATCTAAAATTATGCTAAACCACTAAGTCTCTCTCTTTTCTTCTCTTATTCCTTCGAATGAAAGCCTCCAACCCCCTAAAACTCTAGACCGAACAAACCGCCGACGATACTAACCCTAACAAAGGGTTCGAACCACTGGGTAAATGCTCACTCCGGACCCGACAACAACCAAGGTAAACATTTAACTCTCATCCCTTTTTTGGTTTTATCTTTTGATATCAACAAAGAAAATAAAGTGTGCTGAAAAAAGAAAAAAAGAAAAAGAAAATAGGAACCTAAAAAAGCCTTGTATTCTAATATCAGGGAAATAAGAATTTGTTACAGTGTTCTCTTTTATTTCCAGAGAGAATAATCAGCGAGTGCCAAAAAAATGGGGGGAAGAACTCTCTTACAATTCTATGTTTTTGGGGTTTTTATAACCCATATTACATGAAAGTAAAATTAATTTTCTTTGTTTTTTGTTTGGTGACCTGCTGATGATGCGAGCTGTTAGGAAGTTGGTGGTGGCGTGCGTGGAGTAGCAACCGGGCATGGTGCAGCAAGGTATAACAGTGGTGGCAGGCCATAGTTTTTTTGTATTTTAAATTAATTTTTATAATAATAATAAAAATAATACATATATTTTGGGTGAAAAATTGGTAATTACAGTTGCCCCGCTTTGCT